TTACCCCGGAACTTATTCCGTTAAAACTCCCCTCGCTTGAATAAGAAAAGAAATCGCGCGGCGGGGAGGCCGGGGCCGAATTTTCGGAGCCCACACACTCTCTCTCTCTCTCTCTCTCTCTCTCTCTCTCTCTCTCTCTCTCTGTCTCTCTCGGCCAGAAGAGGAGGGCACGGCCGCTGGGTTAGGTCGGGTAGAGAAGTCGGAGGAAGGATCGGGCTAACGTTGTTGCTTCCGATCAAATTCGTCGTAACTTCGGATCGGACAAGGAGTGGGGTCAGAAATGAGGGAGCTGCGGGAGAGTCGGAGAAGAGGAAGCAGGGATCAGGAGCTCGGGAGCCAGCGAGAGGGGGCCAAAGGCCTCATTTCCTCGAGCCTTTTAACGACTCAAACGAGTCGTGCTGGCGATCGTGTGTGAGGCGACGTCGACGTGCTAGCGACGTGCGAGTCGTGCGACGTGCTGCGGCAGGGGAGCAGGTAAGATCTTGATTTTGATTTTTTTTTTTTCATTATACAGGTCAACAATAAAATAAAACACATAAATAAATAGACTCAAGATCGTAGCCGTTGATCTCCGATGTCCTCATCACTATAAGGTATAGCCATGAGCTCAACTCTTATAAACTTAGTCTTATATATATATATATATATATATATATATTAAACCTAAAATCCCAAAAGCAAATTATGCAGGGCATAAATCCTAATCAAAACATAAATATTCAATTCTTCTAAAAATTAAAAAAAAAAAACTCATGCTAAATTAATAGCCTCAAGCTTAAAGCATAAATCATCCACCCTACACAATATCTTATTGAGAGTGTCAAATTTAAGGTAATCTTAGCTCACAAAGAACTAACGTTATATCAAGTGAATCGCTATAATCACTCTTAAAAATTGATAACCTTAGCTCAAAAAGAACTAATGCCATATCAAGTGTATCACTATAATCATACTTTAAAAGATTTCACACTAATAAGGACATGTCATGCGTCCTCTAATCGGGTGATTTTGCTACCAAAAAATGTTGCTAAATGATGTTGGCTTGTGTTATTTGACCGATTACTATTAGCGCAGAATGACACTATTAAATTATGATCATGATCAAAGCCCGCAAGTTCCCCAATCGCCCCAAATCCGTTGAGTGGTGAATTGTATAGTGCACTTTATAGGTCACAAACCCTCTATTAGCTAAGATAGACTTAAATTGTCTCATGAGACAAGCATCCGCCCCAAGTATACGAAGTACCCTTGAATGAAGTGATTCATGACTGTCAACAAGGATCCTTCGATCAAATTAGATTGACTATCTCCACAAAGTAAATAGACCAATGTCTATGACAACCTTTGAATCTTGAATAGGTTCATCATCAACTCCCCTACCATCTACTTTAGGCTAATGTGATATATTTTCTTATTCCTAAAATTCAAAAATCACTGTAAGCTATACATTCAACGCTATTGGAAAGGATAATTAACCATATGGCTTGTGCTTATGAGAAACCTAGAACCCGATTTTAACATACTGATAGGAAATACTTGAGTTCGCTATAGGAAATACTTGAGTTCTCAAGTAACACTAACGGGAAATACTTGAATTCACAAGCAAACCTAACAATAATCGGTAAAACAACAAGAAAATTGGAGAAAATATGGTGGAAAAAACAATCAAACGATAGATAGTCTTATAGAAAGCAAAGAGAAACAAGAATGAAACAAGATACAATTGATCCTCAATTCGAGAGGAGAATCCTCAATTTGAGAAGAGAATCCTCAATTCGAGAAACAAACCGAGTGGACAACAGCAAGGAAATTGAGTGGGCAACACGAAAATGAGTGGACAACAGGGGAAACGAGTGGACAACAGGGGAAACGAAAAGAAAATAGGGAAAACTGAACAGCCATAGGAAAAAAAGAGCAAGAAAACATAAGTGGAAAGGCAATGGAGTGTATTGACATGAGAGCACCCAACCCGGCATGATCATGAGTAGATTTCCATCATAGGGCCTTACAAAATAAAATTACATTACGTCCCAAACACAAGAAAGTTAAAAAAAATATATAAAATAAAAAATCTTGACTACATCACTAATCGCAAAAATTTCCATGATGTTGTTAACATGGTGAGTATTTCACAAGCACATAAAGAATTGGAGACATGCTGGATGCTCTTTATAAATAAAAGCTCAGCACACATGCATAAAAATGCATATCTATATTTCCTTCTCTAATAAAAAATGAAAAAAAAAATTGTCACCAACATAAAAAATTACCATGATATAAAATTCGGAGAAAGAAATAATTTATTGATGCAATAATGGCCATGAGAGGACAAGCGATCTACATTACAAAGAAGACGAGATGGGAAGAGATAAAGCAATACTATAATATAAGTATGAAAAAAAAAAAACTTCCCATCTATCATAATCATTTTTCTAGCAATATGCAAAATGCCATAAGAAAAGATAAAAATAACTTAAACATGTATACCCTAAGACTGTCAACATTATACCTGAATATTTGGGGCAAGTAAGCTGGGTTGATCAGCAAAAAACAAAACCATTCTTCCAATCTCTTGTTTAAGTAGTATTCTCCTTTCACGATGGATTCCATCACAGGATATAATAGCCAGATCATGCACCTCACTGCAGTACAACTTGAATAACATTAGTTAGCCAAGAGCAACCACTAGGCATTACATATAAAAAACTTTCAAACGAGTGAGCAGACAAAGCAAGCATTAACGTGACATTGAACCTCTAAATTAGAAATTAGCCAAAAAAATATGCCTAATCTTATGTAGCTTGGCAGGGATGTTCATCAATTCATTGTGTTGAAAACAAAAATTCTGTTCATTCATTATAAAAAATGTAAACTAATTTTGCTGCTCAGAGAATTTCACGTACATGAAAGAATGATAAAGATAAAATAACTAGATGAGAAGCATCCATAATAAAAAGGGAGAATTGCATGCATACCATCGGAATTATGCATATATACAAATTTAACATCGTTCCCAAAAAAATGAATAATCAATGCCATATATTTGTGCATGTCCATTGAAAATTTAATACAACAACAGCATCAAGCCTTTATCCCACTACATGAGGTCAACTATATGAATCTTTTTTTATCATTGTCTCCTATTAAGAGTCAAATTCTCATTTAAATCTAATAAAAAAAATCATTTATAATACTTTCTAACCAAATATTTTTAGGTCTGACTCTACCTTGCTTAACATAGACCGAATCTAATACATCAATTCTAACATGATCATCGGAAGGCCAACATTTTATATGACCAAATCATCTGAGACAAGTCTACCTAATCTTATTTGCCAATAGAGCTACTCCAACGGTCCAACCTTTTCACATATATAATCATTTCACATTTTGACTATAAATCTAAAGCCACTCAGCACCCTCATCTCTGCAACACGGACATAAAACGTCTTAATACACAATTACACAATTTTAAATCTTGCACCTGACTAATCAACTTTTATCCAATAACAATAAATTTTAATTTCATAGAAACAACAACACCACAAGCCTACTTAAAAAGGCTACCTAACTTAATACTTACTAACAACTTCAGTGATTTCTAAAGTTTTGTTAGCTTAATAAATATGAAAAGGTTGTAGGTGATATAATGGCATTCGAGTTTATGAGTTGAAACTATCCAATATGAAAAATTAACAAAGCAATCTTCAAATAGCAGTAATGTATTTTATATTCCTATATGTAAGAAAATTAGATACATGAAAAACTACTCTTAATTTTATTGCTTAATTTTTGTTCATAGATTGGAGGTATTTATAGGCTCCTCAAAGAATATTATATATGAAAAAAAAAAGAGAAAGTAATTTGCACAATAGATAAATAAAACCAAAAAAGGGTGGCCAACGGTCAGGTGTAGGGAGAGGAGCACATGGATTGCAATTCAATATTTAGGAGGGAGAAGATCCAATGGTTAAGCACGTAGATCCATGAGCTCATCATGTCATACTATGATTTACAACATGGCGAGACCGCAAGACCCATCGCTCTTCTGCCTAGAGAGAAAATTAGGGTTGGTTGGATGTACAAAGGAGGCAGAGTAGGTCCCATGATGTGAGAAACCCACAATCTTCAACACTCACCCTTAAATTGGATGATATAAATTTTTCATTTCAAGTTTGCTTACAACATCCTTGAACATGAGGTTGCAGAGTCCTCTGGTGGTGATTGTATTAACGAGTTAATTTCCTATTAATACATATGGCATGCAAATTAACCCTCTCCCCAATTTCTCTTTCATGAAATGTCTACCTCTACATGTTTGATGCAATCATGTTGTACTAGGTTATGAGCAATGTTGATGGAAAATTTATTATCAAAAATATATATATCTTTATAAGCTCTTCCCATTTTATTTTTAAGTCTTCCAAGATGATTTTGACCCACAGAAGTTTGCAAATTCCCAGGACAAGTGCTTTAAATTCAAATTCAATGCTATAATTTGAACTGCTGGCTTCCTGCTCCGCTTATGAGATTTCCTTTCAAGAATGAGTGTCGTGAAGTAGACCATCAATCCATTGGTGATCCTACATAGCTTGCATCAATACAACTTTCAATTTACAAAGCATCACTCTTTTTTCAAATAATTCTTTTTTAGGACTTGATTTAATGTATTTGAGGAATCTATAAGCAATTTGAGAGTGAGACTCTAGATATATACATGAATTGATTAATGAAGCTTACTACAAAAGCAATATTTGGACTGGAGTGAGATTTATAGGTTATTTTTCAACTAATCTTTGATATTGTTCCATGTCTACTTCTGCTCCTTCAACTATGACCAACTTTGACATGATTCTGTAAGGGTTTCACAAGGTTTGCAATCAATGATTTTTACTCTTTAGTAGGTCAATGATATACTTTTGCTAATACATAAATATTATTTATTCTGATTGAGCTGCTTATGTGCCCAAGAAGTATTTTAATTTGCCCGACTCCTTAATCTCAAATTCTTTAGCAATTTTTTTAGGGACTCATTTTTTTAATTGTCTTCACCCATAATAATTATATCATCAACATATATAATGAGAATTGAGATCTTACCATCAGTGGAGTGTTCTATGAAGAGGGTGGTATAATCCCCATTGCTTCATTTGTATCAATTTTCCATCAAGCTATTGTGGTTGTTTAAGTCCATATAGAGCTGTATTCAATTTGCACACTTTGCTCTTTGCGAATGAGCTATCGAACCCTAGTGGAGAATCCTATAGACTTCTTCAAAATCTTCACATAAGAAGGCATTCTTTACATCATGCTGCTATATAGACCATCCAAGATTAGCCATTAGAGAAATCAATATACAGACTAAATTCATTTTTGCAATAGGAGAAAATGTTTCTTGGTAATTAATTCCATAAGAATGAGTATATTCTTTGACTGTTAATCTTCCCTTGTACCATTCCAAACTCCCATCTATGTTACACTTTATAACAAAAAAATCCACTTACATCCTACAGTTTTGTTTTCTTTCTATAGTCAACAAGTCCCAAGTGTAATTTGTTCTAAAACATTCATCTCTTTTCATATGACATTCTTTTAATTCTTATTTTCAAGTATCTAGAATAAGGTTTGTGGTATTAGAATGAAACTAGAGTTCATGTTTATCAAGAAGGCCTAATGTGAAGGAAAAAAAATGTGAAAGGATGTGTATTGAGAGATGAAAGACAAAGAAGTAGTGATCGGTTGCTTATTATTAACTGATAACAATTTCGAGCCTTGAACTTGTTAGAGAGTCTAGTTGAGCTTATTCCTTCTTGTATAGACTTGAAGCAGGACAATGCTTGGATTTGTTGGGATTTGCAGGTTTCATCAAATTTATCTTCCAGTTGAAAGTTTTTTCTTGTGAAGATGAATTTGATTGAAAAACTAAGCTTTTCATCAAAATTAACATCATCTGAAATAAGAATTTTTTTTAGTAAGATGATAACACATGTGCTCTTTCTGAGTGAGGAAATAACCAATAAAGTCACGCTCTAATATTCCGTCTACCACTACATTGTTTATGGATATAAACATAAGCAATACACTCAAATATTTTTAGAAGAATTTTTTAGAGGAAGCTATTTATAGGGAAAAATTTTGTCAGATGATTTAAAAACTTTTAAAGCCAATCACTCTTGAAGATATTTTATTGAATACGTAAGAAATAGTTAAAACAACCTCTTCCCAGTTACACTTGAATCTGGATAAAAAAAAAGTCCTAGTGATTTAAAAAATGTAACATTTTTTCTTTATAGAGTATCATGATAGGAGAATTGATGAATGATACCATCTTAATGAAAGAATGATGATAATTTGTGATTGAAGTAATCACGATTCACGAGCATTATCTATCTCTAATATTTTATTTGTATTAAATTAATATTTATTTATAAGATATATCTATATCATCCGAGTGCAATCATCAATGAAAATGACAAATTGAGAAATGTTAGGGATTTTGGAGAGTCCACAAATATCATGATAAACTAATATAAAAGAAGTGAAATATCTAGAACCACTTTCACGAAAAATAGCATGATAATGCTTTGCAATTTCACAAGTCTCACAATAAAAATTTTCAATATTTGTATCCATAAAAAGAGAAAGAAACAAATAGTATAGAGTTTTAAAGGAGGGATGCCCCAACCTAAAATGATGCTCCCATATGGTTTCAATATTGTGGGTAAAATAAAGGAGCACAACAAGCAATTTTTATCTTCAAGAAGATATAGTCCATCCTTCACTATCGCTTAACCTATGGTATTCCCCATAATGAGCCCTAAATACACAATGATTAGCAAAATATTTGGCGATTGTATGGATCAATAAAAGATTTACAACAAGATAAGGAACACGTAAAATATTATTGAAGGAAAATGTAGGGGAAATTAAAATATTTCTCCGACCTCCAACAATTTTTATGGAACCATCGACCGCTTTTATTTTCCTATTATTACGACAATGTTTGTAGGTTTGAAAGATGTTGGCAAAATTCATCATGTGATTGGTGGCTTATAAATCTAAGAACTAATTTTGGAGAGAATTATCTAAAGTGCGAAAAACACAAGTTTGAAATCATATCATTAGAGCTATAAATAGCATGATCCGAATAGTCTCCCGAGGGAGTTGAGCAAGTTCTTAGTCTGTCGATTTCTTCAAAGTTAAGATCTAATTCCACAAAACAGACTTGCCCTTTTTGGTGTCATTTGTTTCCACCATAGTCTCAAGGCTTTCTATAGAGCTTTCAGCACTTATTTTTATGTATCTGTGGGCTCCAAAAATTCGGCCTCGGCCTCCGCTCGCTTTTCTTATTCGGCGAGGGAGTTTTAACGAACTAAGTTCCGAGGTAAATTTTGGAAGGCATATGGGTTTGTAGATAAGACACTACCCAGAGATTTCGCCCTCATTTTGTGAGGACTTTATGATCTGAGTTCTGGTTTCCTATAGGCGCAAGCCCCTATAGTTAATTACCCCTCCCGATCATGAGAGAGAACTTTCGAGGGAGCGCGATCGAGGCGAGCAATTCCCGGAACAGCGCCGAATCTACAGTGCCTCGGCGGGATTTCTTGCGAATTTTGCGGGTTCGACAATCCGAGGTGCGGGATTTCTGCACGGTTTCGTGGATCCAACAGGTATGCGATGTATGTATGCTGGATTCATGGTTTCTTTTTCTCTTGTTTTCATTTATGCAGAGGTTAACAATATCATTTCTTCTTACCGAAGTTATACCATAGATTGCATTTGGAAGAAAGCTTTTATCCTTTTTTAAGGGACCCTTGTCTTTGGCAATAATTTTACAATGAGAAAGCCAGAACTTAGAAAGTGTGAGGATAAATCTAGATGAAAACAATTTTCTATAAAGATAAAGTTTGTGAGACGAAAGAATTGAAAGACATGATGACAGTCGACCTTTCACAATCACTTTAATTATACAATCAATGTATAAAACCAATTTTCATATAAGCTAACAAATCAAAGCTAAATTGAGGTCTAGTCTAGTTGGACTGCATGCAGGCGTTAACTGGAAAAGGTTTGTATAGACTGGCACTCGACAGTGATCAAAACAATGCAAACTCTGCTCAAACTAAATTGGGTTGGTGTTAGTCGGATTAACATAGAAAATGGCTTGGATTGACAATGGAAATGTATGCCTTACTCAAGTTGAGGAGAGTGATATCTCACAAAGTGGAAACAACCCAAAATAAATTGTGCATGATCGTGATTGAAGTGATGCCAAGGATAATACCTAAAGGGAGAACCAAGGTCACAGTGACGATGAAATGCATCACATGCAGCAATTTCACTTAATAAAAATGATACAATGTCATGTTTGGAGCATGGAAGAAGACACAACAATTTGGTTGCAAAGATAGATCTATTGCAATTAAAGTAAAGTAGGTAAGCAAGCGTTTAGGCAAATTATAAACAAATAATGGATCATAATTGGAGAAGTCTGGCAAAGTGAGGTTGATTTACGAGGCGAGACTAGCGAATGGCCACCAAAATGTTGTCAATTGCATTGATGATGATGGTGAGATTAGAGGGAGCGGTTCATAGAGCAGCATTGCTGCATTGGTTAATCCAATGTTATGGTCCAAGAAATAGGGATTGCTTGTGTTGACCTCCTTTTTGGTTAGTTCAAACTTCAAACCAAAGCATATCTATGAACTATATAGTTCAATTTGGACCCACCATTGACCATGGTTAATCCTGAAATCCATAGGCCAAGCTCAAGTTCATCATGCTTTATTCATCTTTGGAACCCTAGGTAATGCTACCCAAAAATTACGTGTTGACATAGATCTTATAATTGAATTATGGAGTTCCATTGCATCCATTATCACATATGACAATACATGCAAAGAGAAAAATATTGAAACACCAAGATTTTATGTGCAACTGCACATTTTTTTCTTCTAAAACTCCTTTCTCGATAAAGGCTGTGCCATCATGTCAAGCTCGTCAAAATAATTGCACATAATCCTATGAAGAGATTGTGAACATAGCACTATGTTTTAATTTATTTACTCATTGTTTCTAAAGTGCACGAGGCCCTTTCTTTAAATTCACAAGGTACTCAAGTTTTTTGTTATTTACTAGGAATAGTCGGACCAACGTGTTTTAGTCACTTTTGCCATGCTCTTTGTGCGTTATTTTACAATATGAAACAAATGAAGAGTTCTAGCGACTGTAAGAGACTTCTTTACTAAATTGCTTGAACTGCTTTCTTTACTGTATACCTTGCTCATCCTTTTTTAATATGTTTAATCTCTGTTAAATTCATTCATGTTGCTTTATTTCTCAGTCCATTTGAGCCCTTCAAGCTATAATGAAATTTCAAAATCAATATATTTCTTTCAATGAGAAACCATCTAAAAACAAGGATGGCAATAAATATTGTTAATTTTGAAGGTATCATTTCATTGTTCTTATCTATGTTTTGGGTAAAGCTATTTTTTTTATAAATGTTGTATCATCTTCTAAATTCTTTAAATTGGAATTCTTGCCGGTGCAATAAAGGCAAGCTTACTAGTAAAAACACAGAGAAAAAAAAAATGAAACATAATATGGCAAGCAAAAAATGAAATCCACCATGCTTGAATATAAAAATCCGTTTCTGGGACCCTTACCTTATCATTTTTTCAACTTGTTTTGCAACATTATATTCCAGGTCCGCTTCTTTTTGTTTAGCACGCCCATATTTGGCCATTTTTTTTGACTCAAGGACTTTTGGCAGAACATGAAGTAAATATTCCTCATGCAGTAGAACATACTGCAAGATGCAACACAATCATAGTTATCATACACTTCAGAAGAACGTTAGCTTTCTTAATAAGCAGGATAAGATTACCTCATCTCTAAATAGTGTGATAATTAAATTTTCCTTCAGAACAACCTTCAAAACAAAAAGAAGAATTACTGGTCATGATCCAATAGATAAAACCTGCTGTAGAATTCCAATTAAAAATGTAATATTTCGAAGCATTAAATTATTTTAGTGATTTGGAATAACATCTATTAAAAATAAGATAGTTGAAAATAAGGTAACATTAGATGAATAGATAATTAAAAGGTAACATTAATAAAAATTATTCCAAAAGATTTACAAAGAACAAGTTTAGCACCTATGATAGCACATAATACAAATGAATTAAAATTAGAATTTATAAAGTCAAGCATAAATAATTGTGATAAGGTTAAAGATAATATGATCATTCCATTATATTGCTTCATTATACATATATTCTCTATTATGTAGATTTTATACCATCTACCCTCTTTTATAAGCTGTTAGTATAACAGAATGGTTACTGCTCTTGATTATATTCCCCGGTAAGGGCTTGTGTTAAAATGTTTGATGCCTTAATAGTACTAAACAAGAATAATGCTATCAATAAACGCAACCTGGCAGCCAAATTAGAGCTTGTTTAGCTTCATTTAAAAAAAGATGGGAAATAAGAAGAGGGGTGGACCACATCCGCTGTTTGATTGACAAGTGCAGGCCATTTCACCAGGTAATTAAGATTCATGGCGACATCACATCGGGTACTGCTGAAAAATCACTTTCGTAAGTCATAAAATTTGACATGCAACATATGTTGCCTCCTTTTTGGCACCGGCCACTTGCACAGCTTTTCGTAGTTCAATACACTTGTTTGTATGTCGCACAATTGAGTCTGATGAATGATCAAATCGCACATTTTACCTCAATTCGTCGTCGGCTTTGGAATTTATGCCTTCTGATCACATATTGCCCGTTATCATGTCTTCAAACATGTGTGATCGGTTAAATGATGATTTGACGTGTATTTTAATTGCATTTGAGCCTTTATAGCGCATATTGGTTCTGTGCATGAGATCTTTTTATTCGGACCTCGTTTTGCGAAACGGATTGTTATCATAATTATTATTGAGATAATAATTATTATAATTGAGATAATAAATAAATTTAGTAATTATTATTGTTATCACGCATGTCGATGAGAGATATTGAGATAATAATTATTATTGTTATCATTATTTTTAAATATGTATAATATAAAATATAATAATAAATATATATTTTCTTATTAATTAAATAAATATAGTAAGTCAAATTTAAATATAAAAATAGAATGAATAAATATATATAATAAACAATAAATAAATAGCATATTATTCACATGAAGTGTAAATAGAGCTCAAATACAAAATAACCTGTTTTAACTTTTTATATCTCTCAAATTTAGGTTTAATGACTAGAGATAAAGCATCAAATACAAAACTTGATTTCAGCCCTTGGATTTAGGTTATCAAGAAGCGTAATGTCATTTTATCCTATGTTGGTAACAAATTTACTGCTAAGGCCGGCCACAAGAGGGAGATTGATGATGAACTCCTATCGCAAGCTCTCTCTCTCTCTCTCTCTCTCTCTCTCTCTAGCTTCTTGTTCCAGCCGAAGCCTCCCCACCCTTTGGCTAGTCCCGGTTGCAAGAATCCCGAACAAGCAGCTTTTAATCTGATCTCATCACCTCCAGTCCTCTCTCACGCGATTGCAACCGATGACCCTTGGCAGCTGCTCAGCTTCTCGAGTTGAATCTGAGCCCAAATTGCGAAACCTCATCCGTCAGCCCCTATTTCCTCTCCTCTCGACGTAGAACCTGGTATTCACTTATAAGTTTTCTTTAATTTGGATCTATGTATGTTAATTCACAATGATCAATTAGAAATTCCGTAGTATAAGGTTTGGATTACATACTTCTAGAAAATTCAAAATGGTATTACTTGATAGAATCATAATGTAGGATTGAGTTAGGAACTTAGGATTTAAAATTCAAATGAGTGCACCATTTTATAAAATAGGGTTATAGTTGATAATTATTCAAGTCATATGTTGCCTTATTGAATGATTCATAACCAGCTATATTTAAATATTTTGTAATTAAAGATGCAATTAATGAGATAGTATTAATAATATTAAGTTTATGATGTATGCAAGCATTAGAATAAATGGTATTTATTGGTGGGCTAAATTTTTCCTAATGGGCTTTGGCCCATTTCCCCTTTTTTTTTGCTAATTTGAGTTCTGGCTGCTAAGTGCCTACTGCACTGGTTCATTTCTCCTGTTTTTTGCCCTTCGTTTCCTCTACCTGTCCGGTTCTTTCCCCCTGACGCTGTCTGTTCGTTGGCTGTGTCCCACGTGCCTCTTCGTGTGCTGCTCCAGCCAGCTATCTGTTGGTCTTTTGCCTCCCCCTTTCTGATTGGTTTGGGTGGGCGTGTTGGGATCCCTTTCTTCAACCATATATTAGGGCTGTTTGTGGTTGTTTTGAAAAGATTTTGGCAATGATTTTTGGAACTAAAACCTGAGGGTTTCTTCTTGGTTAGCTTGTGAGCTTTATCCACTTTCTCTTCTCTTCTCTTTGACTTTGTCTCGGGCTTCTTATCTACTTCTTCTCTCCACAAATTTCCACCCAATTTGTATCTTTCTTCTCAAGCTTTTGAAGGTGTTGTTGGCCGGTTTGGTAGCATTTGTCAAAGAAGTTTGTAGTGGACGTTGGCGCAATGTTGCTGTGGTGGACCTCTAGTTTGCATGTCTTTGAGCACTAATCATTTTCCTACTATTTTGATGTATGTGAGGTGACCACTAGCTGGTTGTTTTGAGGGTAGTTTGTTTTATTTTTATTTTAGTTTTCGTTTATTGTCTAACTTCCATTTGTTTTAATGTTTGTTTGATGTTGGCTTACTAAATTATGAATTGAGAAAAGTTCTTATTGCCTTAGTGTTCTCCTTTTGGTTTTTTTAATCTAGTATTTGCATCAAGTTTGGTATCAGAGCTTAGGTTTTTGTTAAGTCTTCCTTTCTCTTCTTTGAGTCTTTAAAAAAATGAAAAATCAAAAACAGCCAGGTGATCTTGAAGTCCCAATTCCTAAGAGCCGATGGATCCCGCTGCAAGGAAGTTCTATCAATCCCATCCAGAACGAGTTGTATAAAATTCAATATCAAATGTACTTGTGTACATAAATATATGAAAAGAGAAAGCAAATTCTTCAAGACCAGTTTAGACAAGAAAATGAAATGTTCCAAAGAAAGTACGCGGCCTTGATTCAAGAACTGGATGTGGCACCTTCAACTCGTTAGGAAAGTTTTGAAGTCATTTCATCAGGGGATAAGAACTCTCAACCTGGTTGAGAGAATTGATATAGGCAAAGCCCCCCTGACGGTTGTTCGACTTCTGCTCCTGCCCCTTGGCTTCCTGGTTTCCCAGCCTGCTGGGATTCTATTGCCTTTATTCAGTTTTTATTCTGATTTTGTGCTGACTGGGTTCATTTCACCTATTTCCTCTGCCTGCTCGGTTCTTTCCCCCTGGCGATGTCCATTCGTTGGCTGTGTCCCGCGTGCCTCTTCGTGTGCTGCTCCAGCCGTTGGTCTTTTCGTCTTTTGCCTCCCTCTGTTCTATTAGCTGGAGTGGGCGGCTGTTTGGCTGTTTAGCTCTCTTTCTTCTCCTATATATAGGGGCTGTTTTGTGGCATTTAAAAAAAGAGTTATGGATAATTTTTGGAGCATGAAAACCTGAGGGTTCTTCTTTGATAGCTTGCGAGCTATGTCCCCCTTTCTCTTCTCCTCTCTTAACTTCGTCTCGGGCTTCTTATCTATTTCTTCTCTCCGCAAGTGTCCACCCCATTTGTATCTTTCTTCTCAATAAAAAAAAAGCTTTTAGGTGTTTTTATATGTTCTAATATATTGTTTGTCGTGTGAGTTGTAAGTGTTGTTCATTCTAAAATATAAAAAAGTTTAAACGTGTTGTTTGTCCTTTTTTATTTGTTATTATTAGGTTTTGTGTTTTATTTATTGTGTCGTTTATGAAAGGAAAACCATAGGTGTTTGCAATATTAGTTTTTCCAAATTTTGATTACATCAGTTTATAATTATGATGCCATTTAAATAGAAAAAGGGGTATGATTCTTATGAAAGATACATATTAAGTTTCTAAAAAAAATATCTTAATTTTTTATAAAGTGTTGACGTACTTTTTCGCATCGAGCCCGATCGTGCTCGATCGATTCGATCGAAGGTCGTCAAGACGAAATTGACTCAAATCGAACCTCAATTTAATTAAATTAAATCAAATTTAATTAAACTAAAATCAAATCAATTTAAGTCAAACCCCGTCGAGCGTCGTCGAGCTCAATTCGACACCATTCGGCGCCGATTCGAGCTCAATTTCATAAAATTGACTCGATCGGACCCAAATCGACCCAAGTGGGGTTCAATCCGAGCTCAATTTCAGCCTTAATTTGTTAATTTAGGCTGAATTTGACTTTCAAGCCATCTCTTTGAGATCTAGGGCTGAGATTGAGCTCCAAATCCCACTCAATTTCATTTCAAGTGGCAGCAAAATCTACTCGAGTAGATTTTTCTCTCGTTTCTCGTAACGAGGCTGTCAGATTGGACGGAACGGGGGCGTTGTTCGGCTCTGTGCTGGCGCCCCTAAGTAAACGAAATGAGTGGGGAGCCTCATTCGGCTCCCCTGTTGTTCTCCCGCTCCCGTCCCGCAGCCCAGCGAGAGAGAGCGAGCAAAGGAGGCGGAAGTCGCTCCCCTTGCGTGTGTCCGACCCCGTGCAGGTCAGTTTCAGCGCTCTTCTTCGCTTGCGTTCATCCCTCTGTCCCGAGAAGAGGAAGCAGAGCCGACTGGCTCTGCATGTTCTTCCAGCCCGAGCGCAAGGAGGCCGGCCGATTCTCCCAGCCCCGAGTCTTGTACGCCAAACTTCCGTCTGATTTGAAGCCCCTACTCCTCTCAAGTCTGGATTTCTGCGACGGTGACTTCTCCTCCTTCCTCCTTCGACTCCGGTGACTTTGAGGCGACAAAAAAAGGCGGTTGGATACTTCCTAACAGCAAAAGAGAGCTTCAAAACCCTCCAAACAGCGATTTGGGGCCTTCAAAGCGCCTTGGACAGCAGCGGCAAGTTCCGGAACGGCTTGGACAGCAACTTTGGAGCTTGAATCGGAGCTTGGAGTGACTTTGGAGCTTGGAGCGGACTTTGGACAGCAACTTGGACAAAAATCGGAGCGCTTGGACAAACCGGGTGTGGTAAAATCCTTAAAACTTAGGCAAAACCCTAAGGCTCCATAGCCAATGCAATGTGGTTGACGATCCAAAGCTTTAGGTCCTTAGAAACTTTAATTTTTGGTCTCCAAAAACCCATCCGTTGGCTGTCCACTTCGCAAAGATTATGGAAATTTGGTGATTTCCATTGGTTGACTCTTATGTGAGAGTCCGGACTCCGGAGAGGATTTTGATACGCGTAGAGGCGTCGGGTTGTTATCCGACATCTCTCGAATATATGTTGTGCATCATATTAAGCTTTACACCTTCGCCTACATCCAAACTTTAGGGCATGTTACTTTTCGTAGCCAAATTGAGTGTGTAGCTTGCATATCCACTCAAACCTCACATTGTTTACATATACTTATACAACACTAGTGTCATGCGCGAAGTAAATACATGATTTAGGAATTTGGTGGAGCTTGTGAAGTTTGTCATAAGCCCTATAACATATTCAAAATATTTGTGATAACTTGGTGTAGGATTTAATGTGGACCTCAAAGTTTCACTTCAAAAAAAAATCCTAAAACAAGTGTTTGAGTAACCTATCTTTTGGATATGTTGTATAGCTTGTGATAAAAAGTTTATGGCTAGTTACTTTTGTTATGCAAGTCTTTCAAAGCTTGGGAAACTCATCATTACGCCCTTAATGAATCAAATCACGACAAAAGTGATTTGATCCCTTAAAGGCTTTAAGATACATGTTTCC